GTCTGCATTTTACCCCTGGTCCGCAGTCTGCGTTTTACACTGACCGCAAACTGATTAGGGACTTTAAGATCCGCTACAGCGAAGCTCTGGTACGGCGGATGCAACCGAAAGAGACTGGGCCGACTACGCCGTCTCCCGCCAAAACTCGAATTGATTAAGTTTTGTGTAGTACGGCAGAGTAAAACTCGATTTATTATTCATTCAAAATATTTTCCCGATTCTGATTAGCTAAAAGCACACGTTTAATTCACCATAACCAGTTACTGATGACCAAATTTGGAAGAATTTTGTGTTTAACGAGGAAATGACGTCAAAAATGCAGCGTTTTTGCAGGTTAAGGCACCGTTAACCGAGAAGACCAGTGGACGAGGTTGAGTTGTTTTGCTTGTGAACTTGAAAAATGGCGAACATTTCACTCGTTTCAAGAGTAATAAAGAAAAAATAGCTAAAAACATGGCAAGAACAGCAAGAGGACAACTCGGAGGGCGACATCTGCTGTTTGGAGAATATTTGCGGAGCTGGACAAACCTAAACGTGCACTATCGAAGATGAACTTAACATCGATGGATTGATGGAGGTAAGCATGTTTTAGCCATGTTTTTAAACAAGGAATTATTTTGAATGAATAATAAAAGAATTATTGAATTCCGGTGTATGACATTGCAGACGGCAGACTGCAGACTGCAGACTGCATGAGGCAGCAAGACTGTAAATTGAATGAAACCAAAAGTATCGTAATAAAGGTGGCATCATCATCAACATTACCTTGTTCCGAGAAGTACATGTAAGGCCCAGAAGCGAAGTTTATATTTTTCATGCAAATTACAGCGACCTCATTCCTAAAGGAGTTGTTGGCTGTTCTTCTCGTATTGAATTAGAGCAGAATAATGTCTGCCGATGTCACAAACTCGCTCATGAATCCATAGCAAGAGGCTAGCAATTTAGCCTGCACCACAGACGAAAATAAACTCTGGTTATATGAGTCTGTCTGTGAAACAGCGCCGGAATCCTTATTTTATGGGGGCCCCACCTCTCTACTAGGATTTGAGTATGAGCAATGATTGGCCTGTTAAAAAAGCCATTGTCGATTTGCCTATTTAGAAATTCAAAATGCACTTCCGGTAATTCGTCGAGTCCAGGTAGGATCTGTTCAGTTTAGATTATTTAGCATATCCTCAAATACTGCTAAGATGAAATACATCATTTAAAAGGTGTTAAATGTCCGTGATCTATCCTAGTTCTTTTTGTTGACGTTACTGTAGTGAGCACGAAGTGCTCGCAATCTAAAAACTCTTTTTTTACAGAAGACTGCTATTCAGAAAGTCATTAGTGGGCATTGCTACTTGTTATTATCAATTTACAATGATCAAAGAACAATAAAGAATCAACGCAATTAGTGATATGCTGGGTGAGTCAATAAAGAGTCGCGTCGGTGAAGAATAGCCAACAGCATCTTGGAAATGAGGCCAACTTGGCTACTTTCTCACTTTCACACGATGTTATATTTTTGATGGTGTCACCTTTATTAGGAAGAGTTTTGGTGTCCGTTTAATTTACAATCTGCAATCTGTGGTCTGCAGTCTGCAGTCTGCGGTCTGCGGTTTGCAGTCCTAGTCTGCAAATGTCATACACCGATTGAATTCGGCTTTCGTATCATATGAAGAATTATGGAGATCTCGGAGGGTGTTATCCGCCTCGGCCTTCGGCCTCGACGGATAACACCCTCCTCGATCTCCATAATTCTTCATAAGATACTCAGCCTCATTCATTAATTGTTAAATAAACAAATCAGACTCGGCCCCAAGTNAAGTATCGTAATAAAGGTGGCATCATCATCAACATTACCTTGTTCCGAGAAGTACATGTAAGGCCCAGAAGCGAAGTTTATATTTTTCATGCAAATTACAGCGACCTCATTCCTAAAGGAGTTGTTGGCTGTTCTTCTCGTATTGAATTAGAGCAGAATAATGTCTGCCGATGTCACAAACTCGCTCATGAATCCATAGCAAGAGGCTAGCAATTTAGCCTGCACCACAGACGAAAATAAACTCTGGTTATATGAGTCTGTCTGTGAAACAGCGCCGGAATCCTTATTTTATGGGGGCCCCACCTCTCTACTAGGATTTGAGTATGAGCAATGATTGGCCTGTTAAAAAAGCCATTGTCGATTTGCCTATTTAGAAATTCAAAATGCACTTCCGGTAATTCGTCGAGTCCAGGTAGGATCTGTTCAGTTTAGATTATTTAGCATATCCTCAAATACTGCTAAGATGAAATACATCATTTAAAAGGTGTTAAATGTCCGTGATCTATCCTAGTTCTTTTTGTTGACGTTACTGTAGTGAGCACGAAGTGCTCGCAATCTAAAAACTCTTTTTTTACAGAAGACTGCTATTCAGAAAGTCATTAGTGGGCATTGCTACTTGTTATTATCAATTTACAATGATCAAAGAACAATAAAGAATCAACGCAATTAGTGATATGCTGGGTGAGTCAATAAAGAGTCGCGTCGGTGAAGAATAGCCAACAGCATCTTGGAAATGAGGCCAACTTGGCTACTTTCTCACTTTCACACGATGTTATATTTTTGATGGTGTCACCTTTATTAGGAAGAGTTTTGGTGTCCGTTTAATTTACAATCTGCAATCTGTGGTCTGCAGTCTGCAGTCTGCGGTCTGCGGTTTGCAGTCCTAGTCTGCAAATGTCATACACCGATTGAATTCGGCTTTCGTATCATATGAAGAATTATGGAGATCTCGGAGGGTGTTATCCGCCTCGGCCTTCGGCCTCGACGGATAACACCCTCCTCGATCTCCATAATTCTTCATAAGATACTCAGCCTCATTCATTAATTGTTAAATAAACAAATCAGACTCGGCCCCAAGTTTTTTGGTTGTGGTATGTTTATCTAGAATAAATGATTTCTTGGAAAGAATCGAGAGAGCTTATAGTGCTCTACTATGACATGAAAGTCCTCGATGACGCCGAATTTCTCTTACTATACGACCTTTACAGCCCACAAAACCTGGACTTGCCGTGTGACTTGTATCCACATTTCGACCTCCAAAACCTGACCGAAGATGAATGTGTGCCCGAATTTCGGTTCAGGAAAACTGATATCCCAAGGCTTTCTCAGGCTTTGCGGATTCCTGATGTTATAATTTGTCACCAAGGAACAATTTGTGAAGGAACTGAAGGACTATGCATGCTTTTGAAGCGGTTGTGCTACCCTTGCCGATACAGCGATATGGTCCACTTGTTCGCTAGGCCGGTTCCTGTATTGTGTATGATTGCAAATCAAGTTTTGGATTATATCTATCAAGCTCACAGCCATCGCATTCTGCACTGGAATCATCAGCAACTAAGCCAAGCCAATCTTGAAAGATTTGCCGAAGTTGTTCACCGAAAAAGAGCCCCACTTAATAACTGTTGTGCTTTTGTTGATAGCACAGTTCGCCCTATTTGTAGGCCCGGCACTGTTAACCAGAGGTTGCTTTACAATGGACACAAACGTGTCCATGGAATCAAGTTTCAGTCTGTTGTTACCCCAGATGGAATGATTGCAAATATGTATGGCCCTGTCGGTAAGTTGTCTTTTCTTTAGAAAATTGAATCTGGGGTTTATAGGGTGAGGAGGCAACTGCTTAAGTGTATTTTTTTTCTTTTCATCGTAAGAAATCACTTGAAATGAAACTTCTTGGAAACATACAACTGCTTTTTCATGAGAAATTAAAAAAAAAAAACTCTTACAAATTAAAACACTTCACTCTCATTACCTCATAGCCAAGCTGACTATGTCTAAAGAAAAGCATGTTTTTTATATACAAAATCTTTTCAGTTCGTAATAAATATATCAATGAACAAATAAATAGTTTCATTTTTTCCTGAATTGTCATATTTACAAGAAAAATGGATGAAATATTCCTGTGAGACCCTTGATGCTTCAATGTTCCTTTAACAAAATGTTATGTTTTTCACTTATCTGACTGAACTTTAACACTCCTCCTGTCCATGAATTTTGTTGCAGAGGGAAGAAAGCATGATGCAGGTATGCTTGCTGAGTCTCACCTTTTGGATGATCTCCGTCAGTACGCCTTCAGCCTAACTGGACAACCACTTTGTATTTACAGGGATCCTGCTTACCCCATCCGTGTACACCTTCAATGTCCATTTAGAAATGGAGCTTTAACCCCACAGATGGAAGCTTACAACACTGCTATGAACTCAGTGAGAACAAGTGTGGAGTGACTGTTCGCAGACATAATCAATTACTTCAAGTTTCTGGACTTTAAAAAGAACTTAAAGTTGGGACTGAGTAGTGTGAGGAAAATGTACATCGTCAGTGCTATTCTTAGAAATGCACTAACATGTCTGCATGGAAACACAACCTCAGATTTTTTCCAGTGTAATCCTCCCGACCTTGAAACTTATTTTGCATAAGTGCTACAGTTTAGGCTAACTGTTTTGAAAATTATCTTTAATAATGGTGTAATGGTGTAAATTAGCAACATAGCAATGAAACCAAGGGCACTTAGACATTCTGAGAAGTTTTGCTGGATTTGATGAGAACTGTTGGAAACATGTTGGGGTCACAGCATCAGTTCTCAAGGGTGACAAACCTCAACATACTATGTATACCTTAAGGTTTTGGTTATTTTTACTAGATTCTGTAAAGTCATATCACACTTGCATTTAGAAATTGTATGTCATGTAATGATTCAGTCTTATAAAAAATACTGTAGAGTTGATCTCACATATGACTCCTGTTAAAATTGTATTGCTTTTGAGACTGTCAGTAAAAGACCAGCCTTTTGCAAAAAAATGAACTAAGATATGAACTTGACAAATATGATAGCCAATGATAAAAGCCTTTTCGGTAGCTGACTCCAAAACAAAACTTTGCTACAATACTTGGAATGATTTCCCATCCCTTTTAATCTAACACTTCTTGCTGTAAAACTCAAATGGAATGAAACTGATCTGTGACTCTTTTGAGTCACTCTTTTAACAAGAGTTTTTCCAAAACAGACATCACTGCCTGACTTTGCTGTGCCATTAACATCTGCATGCATGTGTTGATTCTGTTGCTGCTGTTGAGCCTCCTGTTGGGTCATTGCTTGCAAGAAGGATTGCTGCTGGGTGAACATTGCTTGGAATTGAGCAGCTTTGGTTTCTTCTTCTTTTTTCCTTATCTTTAGCTCTTCTTCTCGGAATGCCTTGTCTGATTCAGCCTTCTCCTGCATAAACTGGCGAGCCTCATTACTGCTTCTCCTGGATTTCCTTTCCTTTGGCTCTTGGCCGTCTTCAGATTTTCGTTCCTTTGTTTGCCCCAT